TGAACGGTTTAACCGCACCCTCATGAACATGCTGGGGACGCTAGAACCTCACCTGAAGCCCCGGTGGCACGTATATGTGGATGCAATGACACACGCCTACAAATGCACCCGCCATGATTCGACAGGGTACACACCATACTACTTAATGTTTGGCAGGCATCCCTGGCTCCCTGTCGACTTGGTTTTTGGGCTGTCAACCACTAATGGGTCGGGTGGATATAGCGATTATGTCCAGACCCTGCATGACTGCCTGTCACAGGCTTATGGACAGACTAATCAGGCCTCTCGCCAGGCTAAGGGTCACCAGAAAAGATACTATGACTGGCAAGCAAAGAGTCAAAGCTTCAGCCCGGGTGACAGAGTCCTTGTTAAAATGTGTCATGTGGAGGGGCGAAGCAAACTAGGAGACAAGTGGGAGTCACGTCCATACATTGTGGTGAAGAAACAGCCAGACATGCCGGTGTATGTGGTGCGATCGAAAAATGGTGATACGGAGAGAGTGGTCCACCGCAACTTACTCACACAGTGTATGTTTCTTCCCGTGGAGCAGGTGGGAGAGGAGACAAGGGAGGAAATGGAGCTCGACATGGAGGAGAGCTGGGAGATTGAGGACATAGAGGACAGTGGAGAGCAGGCTGGTGAAATAATCAGACAGGGGGAAGAGTCGGACACAATCGAGGACGGAGAGGCTGATAGCCTGGAAGGAAGTGTGTTTTGCTGTTTCACCTGAAACAGCAAATGGATCACTTGCCCCCACAGGACCAGAGGAAAGGGACACAGGGGCAGGGGAATGAAATTGCCTGGGGCACCCACTCACCTCCCAAACCCAGTGAACCAAGGAGGAACTTGCCGAGGAGTCGGCATCCCCCAAAGAGACTGACTTAGTGGATTGGTATTCTCACTATTTTTGAGGCGCCACCCGGCACATCAACGAGCGCAGGAAATAACTCCAACCCATCTGGCAAGCGACAGTCTACATTCGGCTCAAACAACATGACTCCTCCTCCAGGAAAAGCTCTCATGCGGCATTTCACCTGACAGATCTGACTGCAGGGAATCGTGAGTCTCTTCTTTCCAACTCTTAATACTGGACATTCTGACTCTTCCAGGGGTTGTTTTGTGTGAACCACCGAAACAAGACTTTCAGCATTACCCTTCTGAATTCTCAGTTCTTCTGAAAGGAGACTCACTAAGTTGCCATCGTCTCTTTGATCACCATTCCCTGCAATCATCTCTTGTATCACATTGAAGCCTAGTAGCGGGCTGCTCAACCCTCCTCGACTTACTAGCATGGGAACATGAATAGCAACTGAGCCATGTCTGCTACTTGTGATCTCAAGAAAAATTTCTATCCACCCTTCAAACGGCACATCTGTCCCATTATCTGCAGAGACTTTGAGTGGGTGATCTGAGAGTAGGCTTTCCAGTGGCCTAATTGTCCCATTTGGCAAGGCTTTTTGCACCCAAGACTTCTCCACAATGCTTACTTGGGCCCCACTATCCAACAACATTTGAAGTTTGACCCCATCTAGATAACAAGTTACCATACACCTGCCCCCAATCAGCTGGGCAACACAGTCCCTTTTGGACACTTGACATGATTTGGAGGTCTTGGTTGAAGATGGAATTTTCTCTTTGGGGTGCATCTTCTCTGGGATTGGGGACTCTGCATTCTCCAAGGTCACTGGTGGTCCCTCCCCAGCGACCTCACAC